CAGGTTTCCTGCAGGGCCTCTCTGGCTCCACCACCAAAAATAAATGAGAGAGGCTACGGCACAGACTCACCTCTCTACTGTCCATCGTGTTTAAGTGTCCCCTGGCTCTATCCTGGCCTGTGGCAGCTGACAGCCTCCCAGGCAACCCTGAGCAGGGTCTGGGGGCCTATTCTGAAGAGCAGAAGGGACAAGACCACCCTATTTCAGGTAGGTGTGGAGTTCAGTCATGTGTCAGGAATTGTGCTGTTTGCTGTCAGACCAGGTACTGGCCTGTTTATTACTCTAGGCCACAGCTCTGCCTCTGCCCTGGCACGTCTTCCTTGGTCTCATGGGCTCTCTGGGATTTGTCTTCCCCCCAGCATGGTCCTGGTGATGTAAGATGACTCATTTCCTCTACAGAAAAAGAAGGGAAAGTAACAGATGTAAGGCTGAGCCCTGTCTCTGCTAAAGGGACAGCTCAGTGTAGGGCAGCTCTGTTATTTTATCCTTGGGGAGAACTGACGCAGTGTTATCTGTTGAGCATCAGCATCCAGCAGCTGATCTTCATTGGGGCATTCACCTTTGAAGTCTGGGATATTTGTGGTTGTTTTTTTAAGCCTTACCTCTAATAGCATTAAACAACAGAAAATAAACTTTGATTCATACATTGGATTCGAATCTTTGCTCCCTTTTTTCTCTGCTTGAAGACAACCTAAAATAGATGAAATTTCTGACCTTTCTCGTGTTAGGATTCTTCAAACAAAGCACCCATTAGTAAAACTGTACTTGTGTGTATCTTACTAAATGTTCTATAACAAAACACAAAAAATAGCAATGTACCATGCAGGGTGAAGATATTCTGAAGAGGTTTGAAAGACTACTTGCAGAGGATGTCTCTGTGTATGTTGCAGCAAGTATTCCAACTCTGGCAACTAATTCAACTGACCTTGAGCTTTTAGAGGAAAAAGGTAATTATTCAGTGATGCTCTCAGAACTTCTGCATTGCAATAGGGCATCTGAGACAAACTGGTCTCCAGGGCCTATTCTGGCATGGTGTTTATGTGAGTTCACAGGACAAGCACTATGGGCTCACTAATTCATTTTTGTGTATATTGTCATGCCCTTAAGGATTTTTCTGAAATTTCACATTTTATATATTTTTGCAAGTTACTGTATCCCCAGGAATGAGCACTTGTGAATTTTGGTAGTTATTAGTGGCTGCAAGTATTAGACATCCAGACATGTCCTGGCTATCAGGGGAGCAGTATAAATTACCATCTCCAGCTGTGTCTAAACTCTTTTTGCCTCTCCCCATTTTTCTTCAGGAGCTCATGTAAAGAAGGTTGATTTTGGACGTTTGGCAGGAGGAGTGTTGCACAGTAAATTCTGGATTGTAGACATGAAACACATATACATTGGTAGTGCAAATATGGACTGGAGATCTTTATCTCAGGTAAGCTCTGCTTCAAAAAAGCTGGGAGAAAATTCATGTGCTAGCACATAAGAGAGGAACATCATGATGTAAAATACTGATTGAGTGGGAGAAACAGCAAAGAAACCCTTGGAGGTGGCTCTTTCTGGGGCTGTGACGTAGCTTGCTCTCTTTGTAGGTGAAAGAATTTGGTGCTGTGATATACAACTGCAGCTGCTTGGCCAAAGACCTCTGGAAAACATTTAGTACTTACTGGGATCTTGGACTTCCTAATGCTACAGTCCCATTCCCTTGGCCTCTTAATTATTCTACCCACATTAACATGCATCAGCCTCTGGAAGTAGAATTCAATGGAATCTTGACAAAAGCCTATTTTTCTGTAAGTATGTTTAGAAGTATCGGGATAGAGTGTGAACTATATTTTAACATAGGCCAGAAAATTTTCTTCAGCAGTCTTCAGTTACTTGTGTTCCAGTTGGATAATAATTAATTCAACAGGTTTCTCTGGAACTGCTCAGCGAATAAGGGCTGACCCAGCTTCATCCATCAGGTAGTATGGCAAGAATGGGGTGCAGGTCTTCTTTGATCACCTGTGGGCTCAATATATCAGTATCTAACCCATCAGGTCATGTAAGGCATGAGGAAAGATAGTGGTCCACTTTAAGTGCTTTGTGCTATTGTAATGAAAACTGAACAGATCTGAACATAAATGACTCACAGAATCTCACAGAAAAAAAAGGATGAAATCACTGACATGTGTGTTTTCTTCTTTTCAGGCTTCCCCTCCAGCATTTTGTCCAGAAGGTCGTACCAAAGACCTCTTTGCTATAACCAGTATTATCAGTGAGGCACAGAAATTTGTCTATGTTTCTGTTATGGAATATTTCCCTACCAGCCGTTTCATTCACCCAGAAAGGTACAATTTGTATATTGAGCAAATCAGTTGACTGCCCTTTTTAAAGGAAAATTCTGCTATTCTGCTATATTCTGCTATATTCTGCTATTCTGCTCCTTCTGCAACAGAAGTATTCAGAGTGGAGAGAACTGAGGCTTTGCTCTGCACTCTTGACTGCCTCATGGACTATGCAAATACTGATGCTATAGGAAGGATGGTATCCAGTACTGTCCATTGTGCTTCACTAGTGTTTTAAATCAGCCTCCCATTCTCTTCACACAGCAAGAAAACTGTGAAGTGACAGACTAGGGACAATCAGGATACATCTCTCTTCAAAACATAGCAGAGCAGCTTTGTGAATAGAGAGAGGAATGGGAACAGCAGAAAGATACCTGACATCAGGCTTTTCAGGGAAAATATTCTTGTTCCCCTCTTCTGCTCCTGTTTCTTTCTTTCTGTTCTTTACTTCTGAAGACTCTTGACTTCTGGTTCTGCTGCCTGTTTGATGTACTTGACCCATAGTTAAAAGGGTGATTCTTAACTGTCCTTGCTGACCAGGAGGCTGAACCAGTCTGTAAAAGAAGCTTCTGGGCTTTTATTTTCCTTTTTTTACAGTTCCATCTAAGGACATCCAAGTTCCTAAAGCATGCTGCATGCATGCATATAGCAGCTGCTCTCAAAAAGAAGGTGGTAGTGGTGATCTGGAGTGATCAGGTTGTGTGTAGTGGACCACTGCCTAAGGTCACAGCAGAATTATGCAGACTCTCTACGTCAGCTCGTATCTGAGTAACACAAAAAGTTAGTCAGTCATGGGGCAACCACTAAGACTCCAAATCCTCTTAGATATGCTTGAATTAAGATATTTACATGCAACCAAGTGTCCTGAGTATTATCTGCTTGTAACATTTGTGAGTTTTCCAGTCATTTAAATAATCTGACTGAGAAAGAAGCTCAGGCAAAATAATTATGTACAACATGGATTGTAAGGAATAGGGTGAGCTCTAGCTTTCTGTTTAGTCAGAATTATACCATGCATCATGTCCTGTGGCATGATGGTGTAAAGACTCTGTTGTTCAGCTGGGCATGTATTAGCAGGAAGGGTAATAGATAGATACAGATAATTCCACTGTCTTTGAAATGAAATCTCAAAGAGGAGCTTCTGCTTGGAGGACACTTTTTATAAATCAAACAACTTTGAGGATTTTCAGTTTCTGTGTTGTACAGTTGAATATCTGTGTTTCTCATCTCCTGCTACTAGCTAAGAATAGGTTCACAGAAAGTCTTTCTTTCCCCTTAGGAATGAGTGTGTTAATACTCCTCATTTTCATCTAAAGCCTTAATCCACCATTTGTGACATCTAGGGTCTGATCGGATGCAAAAAAGTTTGAAAGGCCTAGGGAAAGCTGTGCGGGGCCTCGGGCTATCTCCACAGCAATCAGCTGTAGTGCAATGAATTGAGGCTGATTAGTTCAGGTTAGGTTCCTCCAGCAGCTGAGGCAGAAGGAACAAAGCTGGTATCTTAATGCCTGTTAATCAGCTCAAGCCTGATATACTTAAAAAATGGAAACTGTTGAAAAATAGGATTTTTAAATATGTTTTTCTGAATTTTTCAGGATCTGCAAGACAACCTGACCCTGAAAGCACACGGCTAATCTGCTGATTGTGATAGGACAATGTGCAATGGAAAATTAGAGAATTCAGGGCTTTGTACATAAGGCCCAAAGAATAAGTTAGGCAAACTAATTAATCATTGCCCATGGGACTGTGAGCGAATGCTGGACCTCTCTGTATCGGTCCTCCAATCTATACTGAAAATGCTTGTTTTCCTCCATGCAGCTCTTGTTAGGAACTACAGGATGAAAGTCCTATACAGGCATTTGGAGTTACTAGTCTTGGGATGTACATTGTACAGCACTTAGTGTTGTGTAGTTGGGTCAAGGATGCTAAAAATTTTCCCCTAAGCTACTATCAAAACAAGTGTCATGGAAATGGAGAGCCCTGTGTCCATGAGAGCACAGCTGTGTCCGTTACCTCGAGGGCACATGGCATACTAAAGAGGACAAGGAGGGATAGGAGGGATAGTGTCCATGCTAAGTCCTGAAATGGCCATATTCTACAAAGTGGTTCTTAGGCTTTCCTCTGGGCTCTGCGCTGTCCTTTTTACTTCATGCTGTATGATATGGCTTTACATTGGAGTTGTTCTTTTTAGTTTCCTAATGCAATGAACATGATGGCACCATGCAGTGTGTGTAGCTGTGTACATGTGCTTTACTAAGCTTTAAACTTCTTGATAATTTTCAACCTAATTTGGCAGAGACTGGAGGTCTCAAAATGCCCTGTGAAATGAATTGGCTGGGTAGAAGGCAGAAATCTTACTTTACCTCCAGTGAAGACACAAGTGCTCCTCTTACTAGGTACCCAACATCCCACCTGGGCACAATGTTACTCATATTCTGTTTATTCTTGCAGGTTTCTACTGAACTGTTTCAAAACTGTCCCTTTTTCTTCCCACCTACTTTTCTCTAGATATTGGCCAGCCATTGACAACACTCTGAGACGTGCAGCTTTCGAACACAGAGTACAAATTCGGCTTCTGGTCAGCTGCTGGACCCACTCTGACCCAGCCATGTTCTACTATTTGAGGTCACTGCGTGCTCTCAACAATCCACATGCCCACATCAGTGTCAGCGTGGTACGATAAGAAACCTGATTTTGGAAAGATAGCTTGAGGATACAGGCCTTCCACTGGCTTTTGAGTCTAAGCTGCCAGTTATGTGTGCAAGTACTAGGTTTTAGAGAAGCAGGTTGTCATAGAATCATAGAGTAGTTAGGGTTGGAAAGGACCTTAAGATCATCTAGTTCCACCCCCCCTGCCATGGGCAGGGACACCTCACACTAAACCATGTCACCCAAGGCCTCATCCAACCTGGCCTTGAAAGCTGCCAGGGATGGAGCATTCACAGCTTCCCTGGGCAACCCATTCCTGTGCCTCACCAACCAAACAGTAAAGATTGTCTTCTTTATATCCAATCTAAACTTCCCCTGTTTAAGTTTTAACCAGTTACCCCTTGTCCTGTCACTACAGTCCCTAATGAAATGTCCATCCCCAGCATCCCTATAGGCCCCCTTCAGATACTGGAAGGCTGCTATGAGGTCTCCACGCAGCCTTCTCTTCTCCAGGCTGAACAGCCCCAACTTTCTCAGCCTATCTTCATATGGGAGGTGCTCCAGTCCCCTGATCATCCTTGTGGCCCTCCTCTGGACGTGTTCCAACAGATCCATGTCTTTTTTATGTTGAGGACACCAGAACTGCACACAATACTCCAAGTGAGGTCTCACAAGAGCAGAATAAAGGGGCAGGATAACCTCCTTCAACCTGCTGGTCACACTCCTTTTGATGCAGCCCAAGATACGGTTGGCTTTCTGGGCTGCAAGCGCACACTGCCGGCTCATGTTCATTTTCTCATTGACTTGCACCCCCAAGTCCTTCTCCACAGGGCTGTTCTGAATCTCTTTCCTGCCCAATCTGTAGCTGTGTCTGGGATTGCTCCCACCCAGGTGTAGGACCTTGCACTTGGCATAGTTAAACTTCATGAGGATGGCATCAGCCCACCTCACAAGATTGTCAAGGTCCCTCTGGATGGCATTCCTTCCCTCCAGCGTATCAACCGAACCACACAGCTTGGTGTCATCGGCAAACTTGCTGAGGGCGCACTCAATCCCACTGTCCATGTCAGCGACGACGATGTTGAACAAGACCGGTTCCAACACCAATCCCTAAGGGACACCACTCATTACAGGTCTCCAGACGGACATTGAGCCATTGACCACAACTCTTTGTGTGTGGCCATCCAGCCAGTTCTTTATCTGCCGAGTGGTCCATTCATCAAATTGATGTCTCTCCAATTTAGAGACAAGGATGTCGTGTGGGACAGTGTCGAACACTTTGCACAAATCCAGGTAGATGACATCAACTGCTCTACCGCTGTCCATCAGTTCTGTAGCCCCACTGTAGAAGGCCACCAAATTGGTCAGGCAGCATTTCCCCTTAGAGAAGCCACGATGGGATCGCAGTGACTGTTTCAGGTCCTTGAGAAAATAAGGCCCAATGGATAATCTTGAAGAAGCTATTGCAAACTACTAGTGATATCAAGGGATGTGCCTAACTGCAGCACTTGTGACAAGGGCTAACGGCTTTAAGCTGAAAGAGGATAGATCCAGATTAGATATTAGGAAGAATTTCTTTACTAGGAGAGTGGTGAGGCACTTGCACAGGCTGCCCAGAGAAGTTGTGGCTGCCCCATCCCTGGATGTGTTCAAGGCCAGGTTGGACAGGGCTTTGAGCAGCCTGGCCTACTGGAAGGTTTCCCTGCCCATGACAGGAAGGTTGGAACTGGATGATCTTTAAGGTCCCTTCAAACCCAAACCATTCTCTGATTACCCAGTCAGTAGCTTTTGCTGAGCACCATGACAGTGGCAGTTTATATGACAACCTAGTGCTCTTTTCATAGACCTTTTCCTGTATTAAGCATCTTAAATGGGTCTAGTTACTGTCAGTTTCTTACAACTGAGATCTCTGCTGACTGCCTAGACAAATGGACCTGTTTGTGAACACTAAGTATTACACACAGGCCATAGGCACTAGTCTGGAGTGCATCAAGTGGAGGGAGGTGGTATGGAAGCTCCTGACACGATGCAGTTACCATGACAGAGTGGAGTCACAGAACTAAGGTGGAATGCTTTTTACCAAAAGGAAAAAACAAGCAAACAAACAAGACAAAAAAAAGTAGAGTCTGATAAGAGTTAGCACAAAAAGTTTGGCATTTTTGCTGCCTGCAGTACCTCTTGTATCTGTGATCAGCCCATTCTAGCACAAAATAAGAGCAGCAATCAGTGGTAAATGCAGACCTATTAAACAGCTGCTTAAAACTGCATTTAATTGTCTGCCCTGTAATGATAATAGCTGTGCCACTAATGGAACATTGTGAAGCAAACATTATCCTTATCTGATCTCAATTGCTTATCCAATTTCATGTATAGTGGAAATACTATTTGTTAGTTCTCTTGGATAAGAGTAAAATCTCTTTTATGGTACATTTAATAACAGTGGGTGGACTATTCTGTTCTTTCTGTACTATTCTAGTCTTTGTAAATATAGAAAATCTGCATCGTCCAATCATGCAGTCTGTTCCTCACTATGGTATTTCTATTTGTATTTTAAATTTCTTTCTGTCCAGAAACTCTTCATTGTTCCAGTTATGAATCACACAAATATTCCTCATGGGAGAGTGAATCACAACAAATATATGGTCACTGATAAAGTAGCCTATATTGGTAGGTATTCCATTATTCCAAACACACTATATTTAGAACTATAGGGTTGAGGCTGAGATAAGATGGGCTGCAATATCAAAAAAGCCCCCATTTTGCCATGTAAATCAGTCTACCCTGGGTAAAGAAGTAGAGATGTGAAAGGGAGACAATAATGTAGGTCAGATTCAGTAAGAGATTATTTCATATGACTGTGAACTGTTAAGAACAGAGCATGACAAGTCTGAGTTCACAGTTTGTGACAAGCACAGTAGGAATTTCACAGACTGCGTGCTCGTAGTGATTCAGTGATAGCTGATGCTCTAGTATATAACATCGTGCTTTAATAAAACTAAATTGCTGGGAGGAATTAATTCCATGCACATGTTTGTTGAACAGAACTCTAGGAAAGGAAATGAGAAAACAGAATGTCAATTGCTGCTCAATTCCTGAAAGTCAGAATTATGTTTATTTTTTACTCTCTTATTAGGATCCCTCAAGAAAGGCAATGTTGAAAGGGCTCTGTCATTTCAGTCAGCTCATTCTACCAGCAAGGCAAACCAGCAAATAGCCTAATCTTCCAACAGGCTGAGCACTTGCAGTTCCAATTGCCTTTAATAGAATTTGTTTCTTACTGAATTGTCTTTTGAAGACAGGTATGCAGATAATTTGTTTTCATGGCTAAGCACCTTCCGGAATTGACGTCGATTTTTCTAGCTAAGGCACATACCAGGAAAAGTGCTAAGTGATAAAATGTGCATTTTTTTACACAATATTTGATTTACTGAATTATGGTAGCTTTGGAGAGAGCCCTAGACAATGGCTGCTGCTGGATTCCCAACTTTGCCTGGTTTAAAAGCTGGCATTGCATGCTGAGCTCAGAGCAGCTCTCAAGGTTTTATTGATCAAGGGTCCAGTTTCTTCTCTTGTTTAACAAGATAATTGAGTCCATTAAGGATTTTTTTTCTTTAAACACAGAAACCCATATCAAACGCTGACTTTTACCTCTTTTAATACCTCAGTGTAGCACTCTATTTGCATATTGGTAATAATTAGGTTTGTGCATCTCTGTCACAGGCTGTAAGGAATCAGAAGGTTATGAAGCTTCAGGGTTGCAGTTAGTATTCACTTTTCAAAACCTGAGGTCTGGAATAAGAAGGAGGTGACCTCATTTCTGCTGCTCCATTGGTCCTAATGAGATTTGCAGTTGTACAGCAAATCAGCAAAGCCAGGCAAATGTGGACTTAACAAGAATGGGGATGAAACAGAACACTGGGAAATTAATGTTTTCTAATTAGATACTTTTTCTTGCATAGGGACTTCGAATTGGTCAGAAGATTACTTCATTAACACTGCTGGAGTGGGACTAATTATCAAACAGAATTCAACCAACCTGCAGAGAAGGCAACTGCCTATCCAGGAACAATTAAAACATCTTTTTGAACGAGACTGGAATTCCAAATACGCAGTGAATCTGGAAGATGTGCAGGGACAGAAAGACTGTAACTGGAGAGGCAGGCCCTGAAGTGAATTGAAATACAAATTTAAATAAAACAAAAAGCCCCACTTGAATCTTCTTCCCTGGGCAGAACAGGGAGTTTTCTCTTTCTGTCTTTGTCAGAAAAATAGTTTCAATATGGTATCCACACTGACAAGGTGAGAACTTCTCATAGTTGACTCTGCCTGCAAACCCATTAGTCAGTGTGACACTTCTCTTTTTTGTGTGATTCCCTCACTCTGGAGTTAATGAAATGCATGCAGTGTTATACGACAAGCTATCTGATATTAAAGCAAACATGGAAGATACAACTGGATCTTAGTACATCAGAGACGTAGATTGGCATGCTATTTTATCTTAGGAAGCTATATACTTCAACCTTAATGTTCCATTAACAGTATTTGCTTACATGTGTTTAACCATATTTTTAATAAACTCCTGGCCACTTTAAGATTTTGAGCCGTGTAAGTAATTGCCTACAATAGCGAGGGCAGATTTTTAAAAGCATTTAGGAATTAGAGGTACAGGGAAATACCCATATTTAAGTGTTGAGGCTAGTTTCCAGAATTAAGAATCTGTGATTTAAATCTGGAGCCCTGAGTGTTTGGGGATGCTTGGATATCTGTGCATTGGCCACAGGCAGTAAATGGGATGGCAAAAGAAGAGCAAAGCTGGTGTGTGAGTGCTGGGTTGACAACAGCATCCCACCTACTCTGTGGGCAGTGCTTGGGAAGCCTCCTTGCTCATTTGGGGCTGTCTTGGTCCTGGCCCTGACCAGTGTTGTGTCTCTGGGCTTCCTTTTCTACTGCAGTCACATAGGGACCATAAACCTGAGCCATCTGGTGCCTTCTGTCCATATCCACCACTGCATAGTGGCTCTGTCCTGGATGACTCTCAGAAGTGACAGGAAAGGAAAGCAGAGCACATGCGCCAGCAATGGAGATGTGTGAATGACACTGGCCTTAGGCTCTGTGAACCTTGCCAGGGCTGCACACTTTGCCTGGGCACTGGAAAGGGAGTAGCAGTGTGAACCTTTTGCTTTGGGACTGATGTGCGGCAGAGGCGAGAGAGCCCAAGGTGAAAGCCCACTGCACTGAAAAAGATATTTCTGATATTGTTCTTGCATGCAAGTATCAACACATGGTCAGGTATATTTGTTAGTACAGGCTAATAAACCCATGAAATGGAGCTAGTGAAAACCAGCTGGGAAGGTTCTATTTTGCTAGGGATTTTAATTAATGAGTGGAAATCTCAAAATATAAAGCAGCCTTTAAAAAGGAAATAGGGGAGGAGAGCACTAAAAGCACCTGCATCTTCCTCAGTATGTTTGCACATATGTGATACGGAAGTTCAGTGTTACCTGTAAATGTATTAAAAATCTGCATTAGTAACAGCAAGCATTTGATCTGCAATGATAGATAAAACAATCCAAGGGTCTTGGAAGTGTTTGGAAGAGATAGCTGAGCAGCAGCTGGGAAAGCAAAAAATGGAAAATTGGTTTGGATCATCTCCAAAAGACCTTATAGAGAAAGAGACACATTCGTATGGGGATTTGTGTGTTCACAGAGATTCAAGTCAGTTCACACACAGACAATCACAGCAGGTCCCTTTGTTATCTCAGCACAGGGCAGATATTCAAAAGTACGAAAATGCTTCCTCTGGAGGATGGGGAGGTTGCACTGTGATGGGGAAGTCTGTACTCCCACTACCCTGTCCATGTCTGCACCAAGAGCCAAAATGCACCTGAATGAGGCCCTGCCAAGAGGGGTGTGAAGCTGAGCGGCCACAGGCCTTTTGAGGCTGGCAAGGTCCGCAGCACTTTCACAGCTCAGAGATGGAGTGCCAGGACAGGGACTTTGCCCGACCTCCCCGTGGAGCCGTGCTCTGGGGTCTATGCAGTGAGCACATGTGAGTGGTGGGGCAGTCTCAAAAGCTGTTTGAGCAGCTGCATCTTGAGCCAACAAAAGTGTTTTCTGTAGTGTAGTGTGCTCCTCTAGATGGCACTCGAAGCTGTATTTTCACTGATTTGGGGATGATGGATATTGCGGGAACAAGAAGGGAACTTCTCCACTTGTGAGCTCAAATCTGACAGTACTGGATGAGTTCAGAGTTTCTGGACAAGCTGTGAGACTTGTATTCTGGTAATGTAAGACTCGTATGAGGTCAGGTTCAGCTTATATAAGAAAAAAATGATGCTTATGTGAGTGCTCTTTGCTGGCATCACTTGTATTGGTTTTCCTCCCCAAATGAAGGAGGGGTTTACAATTAAGACGATAAACTGGATCTAAGAGGAACTTGAGTTTATTTCCCTGCTTTCTTGTGAAACTTCTTAGGCCCCTTCATAGTTTCGTTCTAAATTACTTGTTGTCTGTTACAAAGGTAGAATATGGTGTAAATCATAACCAGGCTTTGAATCTCTTAATAATTTTGTTTTCCATTTATGAAACAGGGTTAATAATAGTCCTTATCCATTCACCTGTTACTTATTGTTTTAATTTAGATTGTGATTTCTTCAAGTTAAAGAGTATACCAAGTGTAAGTTGGGGCCTCCAGAAGTATTCATTAGCATCTATTTATTTTCCTTGAATGGATTTTCTAGTTTGGTTTTAGGTAGTTCAGATTTTTCTCAGTATTAGTTTATTAGTGTCTAGGAAAAGTTGTTGGTTTGGATGTTGAGCATGGATACTCTCTTCTGATCAGCTCATCTCATGTACCTATGTTATGCTGGAGTACAACTTAAGCAAACCAGCCTTGCTTTACATGAGTGGCTTTCACGCAGAGCTGCTGCATTGCTCTCCCAGCAGTCTCTGATAGAACTTGGTTTGATGCAGTGCCTTGTGGCTACAGTGCTACTGACACTAGTGTCAGATAACAGCAAGACAGAACATAGCTGGCTCTATAGGTCTGTGAGTTCTGGCAGGACTAAAAGTCACCTGGCTTCACACATTACACACTACCTTGTTCCAAGAGCTTTTGTGTTACCTGTTTTCCTTTTTCTCCATTATCCAGCATTTTCCTTTCCCAGTTGTTTCAGATGAAACACACCTTTGTTGCTTTCATCCAAGTATTGAGAAAAACTCTCATTTACAATTTATGCTATATCAATGAACATTTAATTTTTTGAAAGTCATAAATATCTCCATAATCCCTGGAAGATAGCTCCCCTGTCATGGGCACTGATTCACAGACCTCATTGCTCCCTGCAGCTTCCTGAGGAAAAGTGAAGAGTGAGGTGCTGCTCTCTTCTCCCTGGTACAGGATAGGATGTATGTGAATGGATGCACCAGAGGAGGTTCAGACTTGACATTAGAAAACATTTCCTTACCAAGAGGGTGGTCAAACACTGGAACAGGCTTCCTAGAGAGATGGTCAATGTTCCAAGCCTATCAGTGTGTAAGAGGTATTTTGGACAATTCCCTTAATGACATGCTTTGATTTTTGGTCTGCCCTTAAGTGGCCAATCAGTAGGTCCCTCCCAAATGAACTGTTCTGTTCTGTTCCATTCCATTCTTTAGCTGTCTTGCCTCTGGGATATGTGAGAGGTCCTGCTTCAAATATAACAACAAAATAGCCAATCAACAACTCAAGAAATTACCAAGGTGGGAATGTCTTTCTTTTAAATGCATTTATACATTCTTTTAGATGTCAAAACACAGTTGCAGGTTTGTTAGGCTGGAGACTGTATGTAGAAGCTTAGCTGAATAGCCCACTTTTTCAGACGTTAAAAAACACCAGTAATGAAGGAAACCTACCACAGTTAAAAGAACAACCTAAGCATCTCAAATTAAGGATGCAGGTGGGATCAGAACCAGCCTGTTGACAAAATGTCTATGTTCTGCAGGTTTGTGTCTGTGCTCCTTGCATCCCTTTGAGCTCTGTTCTTAGCTACGCCTGTGGTCAGATCCTTGGGTTAACCTGGTTGCTTATTCGCTAACTTCCAACTTTCTCAAAGCTGACAGTAGCCTATTTGGAGGATTGCTGCTTCTTTTTTCTACTGCTCTTCCCTTAACTATTTCATTAATCTTTAAAATATATGATAGCGATTACTGCTCTGTGGTCATTGCTGTCTCAGAGCTCAATTTTAATTGACTTGATTCTGCCACCTTTGCAACAGACTTCTACATTCAGTGTTGTGTAGGTGGATTCCTATTTGTGGGCCTAAGTAAATGAACACTACCTGCGAAATATTTTAGGTGAAGGAAGCTTTGCAGGTAAATGCAACCTGCTGTTAGAATGTGATATCCTTCATTACATACATTACCTTTTTCTGGACTCAATTTTCCTGTCTTGATCACAAAGTTTTCCTCAGTCCTGGTATATGCCATTGCCATCTAATGTGGTAATTTTTGCTCTATTGAACAATAACTTCTATACTTGGGGAAACTGCAGGGAAATGCTACAAATAAATGGTACATTTATATGAACAGTCTCTTCAGAGATAGAGTTCTCTTTATAACTGCCAGCAGCTCTTTTTAGGGTATTTAAGCCTACTGCAAGGATACAGAAATAAAGAACATCTCAAGATACAGAGAGTTAGACAACCAAGTACACTTCCTTTACAACTGTCATGGTTTAACCCCAGCCAGACAGCTTGTGTACTCACTTCCCCCCCCCCCCCTTCTTGCCCTCCCCCTACTCCTGGAGGGACGGAGAGGAGAATCAGAAAGAATGCAACTCCCATGGGTTGAGATAAGAACAGTTTAGTAACTAAGGTATAACACAAATCACTACTGCTGCCACCAATAATAGTAATGATAAGGGAAATAACAAGGAAAGAGAATACAACACCCCATCACCAGGCGACCAATAACTTGCCCCCCCAGCCCGACCAAGCACCGACCGATACCTCCTCCAACCCTGCCGTCCACTTAGCCCTTCCAGGTCACTCCCAGTTACATCCTGGGCATGATGTGCTGTGGTATGGAATACTTCTTTGGTCAGTTTGGGTCAGGTGTCCTGTCTCTGCTTCCTCCCGGCTTCCCTCCTCCCTGGCAGAGCATGAGGCTCACAAAGTCCTTGGCCAAATCCAAACATCATTTTTATCAGCTCTGCTCCCAGGCCGAAAGTCAAAACACAGCACTGCACCAGCTACCAGGAAGGATCAAAATGACTGCTGCTGCTAAACCCAGGACAACAACCCAGTTTCTAAATGTTTTGCTGTGTCTGCTTTCCTTGTACTAAGTAGAATGTGGAGAAAGAAAATACAGGATGAGAAAACTGCTATAATGAAGCATGTCTGCACATGCCAATCTATAAAACTCATGATTGTAATGTGTGAAAAGTCTTCATTACCACTGTATTTAGAATCTGTGCTGTCATTAAGCAGCCACTTCAGCAGATAGTTGGGTATACTCAAACCTTTTGCAAATTTAAGCTGGGGTTTTCAGGTTCAGAGAATGCTAACAGCACTATCAGTAACTCACTATACTCAAGTTATTATTCATATGGTGAGTTTATTGTGAATTAAGAATACAGACAGTGTTTTAATGATACACGTGAAGGCTGTCACATATGCACTTTGTTTTCTGTTGTGAACTTGAGAGAAGCACTAATATAAACAGAGAAGCAAATAATTATATACATCTCCTTTCCCAGAAATCTTTAAAGCAATTCCACCACTGTGGCAGATCATTCTGTGTATTTAAGTATTCAGTAAATATATACATAACAATTTATTTGTTCACATTTCAATAATTATTCTTTGTCAGAATGTGGTTGGTTTTTTTGGTATCTTAAAAATGTGAGTTAGTTACATGGTTTTTGGTCTTGAATTTATTCTGGTTTTCTTTTAAAATTCTTTTAAGGCTAAATATGACCTATCACAATAATGAAAAAATGAGAAGAGAGGAAGAGGTAAAGCGTTAGTTAGTCTGTCTACACTAGTGTTTTGTTTTCATTTTGCATTTTAAAATGTTCATGGGATATATGTATATTACCTTAGCTGAAATAAAGAAAAATATTTTAATAAGAAAGCAAAAGTAGGTCAGAAAGGTCCAAAATCTAAACAGGTAAGTGTACTTCTCATAGTACTAGGTTATATTCCATTTTGGAAGTAATCTATAATCTAAACATAATCATGAAAATGTTTTAGGTTTTGTTTAATTTTCAGTTACTAAAAAATTAAGAAAACATTCTTGTCTGTACATGTAGATTATTTTATTTTCACTGAGAATTGAGAAAATACAATATTCATTTGGTTTTATCTCCAGGAATATTAGATCGACTATCTTTTTCTTCTTCCAACAAGATTAGTTCAGTTCTTGCTGAAGATGTCACGATAGTTCGAGAAACTGGAACATTAGATGAGAGCACATCACCTTCAACTGTTTCACCCTCTGTTGTACCTTTAGGTGATAAGCTTTCTTGTGCATCAAAAAATACATCAGGTTTATCTGATGGGCTATCTTCATCTGAGATTCTTCCCTCTCCATGACCCATCTCTTCTTTGTCAATGGTTTTAGCCTTTCTGGAAGGAGATGTGAAACCAAGCTTGGGAAATCTAAACCATCCAGTTTTTTCAGTTTGCTTAGAAGAATCCTGACCTGATGTGTCAACAGGTTTCATTTCTTCTGGAACTGACTTTTTTACTTCTGTTTTTGAATCTGCGCTAGTTTCATCACCAGAAGATGAAAAGCCAATACTTGGAAGCCAAAATTTGAATCTTCCAGGAGATCTTTTAGTATCAGTCTTTTCTTTTCCATTGGATATGTCTTTTTCTTCATCTTCTAGTGCTTCAGCTACATCCTCATCTTTAGAGAGAGGATCTGCAGTTATTCCCTGCAGTGATTTACCAGGAAGACTCTCTTCAAGTTTACTGGAAGGCTTTACTTCAACAGCAGATGTTTTTAACTTTGGCAAACTTACTTCTCCAATAGATTCTTCAGTCTCACTGTGTAGATTGTCAGACAGTTTAAGCTCAGCACTGCCAGTCCTCTGTGCTGCTCCTCCAAAACTTTCATCAGCATATTTAGGTGCGTACACTGACACACCCTCTGTTGGAGATGGCTGCTGGACTAGCACTTCTAAATTGCTATGTGATTCAGGCAACTTCACCTTGAGCAATGAGAATCCCAAAGCAGGAGTTTTGACTTCTGATGAGAGAATCTCTGATTCTTTCACTATTTCAGTAGTATAAATCTCACATCTTTCAATAGTAACATGTTCAGGTTCTACTTTCTCACTCACTTCTTGGCCCTCTACATATGACCAGTGAATGTCTTGCCCTGTGTTTTGAAGGGAGGACCCTATGGTAATAGTCTTCTGTGCTGTTTTAATGTCAGGTTCTGTTAGTGTTAGGATTTTGCTTTTTGCTTTTTGAACACTACCCTCTAGAGCCACTGGTGTTTCTTCAGGGATAGCAGAGTTTTCTCGCAGTTGCACTACTTCAATGTCAGTACTAGATCCCTTTGGATCTGTTACCAGTTTTGACACTGAAACATCAGCTTCAAATGGGAGAGCTTTGAAAGTAAACCTTGGTATTTTTAGTTTTGGAATTTTTGTATTTACTTCTGGGTCATCTTGTGATTTGTCTACTGTTATTCTGGTAGATGCTTCCATGTGATCTAGAGATGGACTTTTCAGGCCAATAGATTTTTCTAATTTTTGAAACTGCATCTCTGCTGTGCCTATTTCAGCTTTAGATACTGAATCAGCTTCTGACTTTGGCAAATTGATATCATCTTCAAAACCCTTGACTTCTGAATGCAACACTGCAAACTTTGGAAACTTAAACTTGTATGTTTTAATTTTACTTGTTTCTGCTTTATTTTCTACTTGCACTTGCCCTTCCGCAGACATGTCCTTTTCAATACTTTCCACTTGAAATTTCATTTCAGGATCTACTCTAGCAAATTTAACGTCCATCTTCACTACTGGAACTTCTACCATTAGATCTTCCAGCTTAGCTGTAACATAAGCACCATCTTCTGATCCCTTTGCTGTAGACCACTCACTCATAGGCTTTTTCAGTTGGCTTCCTTCACTGTCTTTTCCTGTAATTTTCATCTCACCCTTTATCTTTCCTTGTTTAATTACTGCCTCTTGATTTTGAATATCCAGCTCTTCCTTTGGAAGACTAACATCTATTTTCTCTTGTGTTGCATCCAGAGTAATTTCAGCTGATGATGAACATCCTGTTCCTGAAGTCTCTAACTTAGAGGAACTTTTTGCCTTTGGGACTTCTACATCCTGTGATTTGATTTTATGCTCTTGAAAAGTCAGAGTACATGTAGAAAACCTAGCTGTTAAACTGTTATCTTTATCAAATTCTGCTGGAGATACCGTGAGTTCTGAAGTATGCATTTTTTGTCCTTCAGCACTGTGCTTAACTATATCTGCATAAGTTTCAGTTTTTGGAATATTCACTGTGCTGTCTGCTCTTTCTGTGGACAACAAAATATCTCCTTCCATCTTCGCCAAGCTAACATCAGAACTCTTCACAGAATCTCCTAATTTTAGAATCTCTTCTTTTCCAATAGTAATTTCAGTGACTGCATGTGGTAATGAGAATGTATTTTCAGGAATCCTCATTTCAGTTTGTACTTTGGCAGAGGGAATGCCTGTCTGAGCTTCTTCCATACACCTTTCGATATAAGCATCACCTTTCTTTTCCTTTAAGGATGTCCTGCCAAATGCAGGTATTCTGAATTTTGGCATTTTAAACCATCCCTGATGTTCTTCAGTCTGACCTTCTTCAGCTTTTCTATCATATTCTTCTTTTAATTTGATATATTTCTCCTCAAGGCTCTCAACAGCTCCCTCTGTCATTGGTTTAGACACTGACTGGAGGTTTACACCTACCTTTGGAGCTTCAATGCCAGCTGTCAGAATTTGGGGTGTTTTTATCTTACAAACACCTACCCCAGGATCTGACATATCAGATGTAAGTTCTGATACTGGAACTCCCACAGCAGTGTCAGCAGTTTCCTTTGTAATTTTTAGCTGGGGTAGCTCAGCTTCTATTTTTGGAGAGTTGATTTCTGTCTCTGAGCCTTTCCCTTTTGTTAGGAGAATTCCAAATTTTGGCTTCTGAAATTTGGGCATTTTAATCTTCCCTTCAGCACCTTCCAAATTAATCTTTCTTCCATCCACAACTAATGACTTTTCTGTTATTATTTCAGGGCTCCTCGGTTCAATTGAAATTTCTCCTTTAGTGAACTTAATACCTGTTTTCTGAATGGTATCTTCATTGGTAGGACTTGATTTTAAGACAAGCTGATGAAAACTCCCCTCTGAAGGAGGCAGAGCAGCACCGATCTTTGCTGAGCTGACTCTCATTTCAGTTTGGGAGGCTCCAGTTTCTGTTTTTGAAAAGTCCAGAGTGGGGATCTTAACATCAGATGGTTTTATGCTTATTTGTGTCCCTTCTTCTGTCCTTTCAAAATCACTTCTTTCTATATCAGGTATCTGTACTGAAACATCACCCTCTCTCTCTGTTTCAAGAATAGTAGTGTCAGCTTCAACTTTTGATGAACGAGTCTGAGGTTTGGAAACCTTGATCTTGGAGAGTGAAATTTTAGGCATGACAAATTGAGGCTTTTTACTTGGACTTTTCTGTTCAGCTTTTCCTACAGATATTTCCAGATCAAAGTCTGGCCCACTACCCTGATCATCAGTTGCAGTTTCCCTCACTTCTCTGTCTATTCTGCTTGACATTGCAGCAAGTCTATGATCTTCCAAATTCACTCCAGAACCCGGTTTAACACTTGCTTCTTTCTTTGGTGACCAACTAAAGGATGGAAGTTTGAATTTTGGCATTTTGAAATGTCCTCCTTCTCCATCTCCATCTTGCTTTCTCTCCCCTTTAATTTTTAGTATTGCATCTGAATCCTCAATATCAGTGTCTGGTTTTGGAATAGAAATGTCAGCCTCTGATGCCCTATTGTCAGCTTTGGTCATTTTGACTTCAGGGGTGTAAGTTTCTGTTCCTGTACCACATTCCACCTCCCATTTTGGTGCTTCAGCAGCAATGTCAGCTATCTCTACCATTGTTTTTAGCTCAGGAACCTTGACATCTGATTTGGATTTTCTGACCTCCTTTTCTGACCCTTTCCCTTTAGAATCTGTAATTCCAAATTTTGGCATTTGGAATTTAGACATTTTTGTTCTCCCTTCAGCAGCTTCAATTTTTATTTCTACATCATCCATAGCAATTTCGCTTGATGTTCTTTCAACAATTGTGTCAAGACTCTTCACCTCAAGGGAGCCTTCAGCTGTCATCTTAATATCTGAGGGGGAGAGGCTGGCATTAGCAGTGCCTGATTTCAATGTCAGGTCATTTTCTTCACATGTAGGAAGTATGACCTCACCTGTAGGCATACCCATCTCTACATTGGAAGCTCTGATTTCTGCTTTGGAAAATTCTGAAGTTGGGACTGTAATTTTTGTCATTTTTATCTCCATTTCTGCCCCTTCTACACTACTCCCTTTCTCGGATTCCTGTACTGAAACACCTTTTTTCTCTTGTTTGGGACCACAAGTATCAGTTTCCAGTACAGGCAGAGACACCTGGACTTTCTGACCTTTAATTTTAGGGAATGAGATCTTTGGCATGGTAAACTGAGACTTCTTGATTCTGCCCTTTCCACCATCTTTTTCTGTTGATGTATCAAATTCTACATGAAGGTTTTGATTCTCAGGTGTAAGAAATATTAATTCACATTCTGTGTCTCGAGACAGAGTAGACAAAGTTGGTTCTTGCAGATGTCCCTCCACTTCAGAAGGAGCAACAGCTTCTTTCTTTGGTGACCAACTAAATGACGGGAGTTTGAATTTTGACTTTTTAACTTTGTTTTCTTTTTCCTCAGTGTCCATCTCTCCTGAAAATAATTCCTGTTCTGCCTTGCATTCTAAATCTGGGCCATGGGTTTCCACTTCTAGATTTGGCATTCTAACTTCCACTGATGGGAGACTGACATCCAACCTGGGAGCATCCAGAACAATTTCAGGTGAAGGCTTGTGCATCTTTACGCCAAACTCAGCATCAGTGATCTGAGTTAGTTTGTCAATATCAGCTGTATCAGGTGTTGTCCTTTCCCTGGAAATCTCAGATTCCACTTTGGAACCAATGTCACTTACTGATGGTTTTCCCATGGACAAAGAAAATCCAAATTTTGGTTTTCGGAATTTAGGAATTTTAACTGTAAACTCTGTGTCATCTACAGGTATTTCAGCAGGTGGGAGTTTACATCCTGGCTTCCCACTTCCTTGCTCCAAAGAAGCATTTTCATTTAAACTTTCAAAATCTGTACCTGAAATATTCTCATTAGCAAGAGATGATATTTTGGACTCAGATTCTGCTAGATTCATTTGATATTTAGTAAGAGTAATATCACATTTTGGTAATGGGGAATCCTGCTCATACTTGGAAGAACCAGTATCGACTTTGGAGAAACCCAAGACAGGAACTGTGGACATTGCATTTTTAGAGCAAAAAACTCCCTTATTAACAGGAGAAACATCAGATGCAACACTACCTGAAATAACAGAAGGAGTATGCTCTGTTACAGAACAATACAGAGATTCTGACACAGAAATGTCAACCCCAGACTTACATTCTGCATGACGATTAACATTTTTAGAAAGAGAAAACTTAGGCATATTAACTAGAGAACTTTTAGTTTTACCCAAATCACCCTGTTTTCCAGCAGAGGAATCTACATAAAGTTCAAAAGGAGATGCATGAATCTCGGCTGCGGGCAGGCTCATGTCGACCTCAGTGCTTCCCGAGGACACAGTCACTTGGGGCTCCTTGAGGCTGACGTCCACGTCAGCGGCCACGGTGCCCTTGGCCTCTCTGCTGCTGGACCAGCCAAAGGACGGCATGCCGAACTTGGGCATCTTGAACTTGCCGTCCTTGGTCTTCACAGCCTCCTTCTCTGGGGCTTTGGCTTCTCCTTCGACGCTGAGGGCTGCCTCGGGTGCCTGCAGCTCAACGCTGGCCTTTGGAAGGGTGACATCGACAGATGGGAGGCTGATGTCCACCTTGGGAGCTTTGATGTCTGCTTTGGGCATTTTGAGGGAGGGTTTCTCCAGCTTCCAGCCGGCCCCTTCGCTTTTGCCGCTGGGGATGTCGGCTTTGAGGCCCAGCGCGGTGCCCTCCCCCCTGCGGGCCGTCACGCTCACGGGCCGGGAGCTCGACCTGTGCGGTGGGCAGGCTGAGCCTGGCCTTCGAGCGCCTCCGCCTTGGGGGGCGACACTCTGAATTTGGGCTTGTCGAACTTGGGCATCTTTAACTTCCCTTTCAGGCCTGTGGTTTCCAGCTCGGCCACGTCGAGGGAGCCTTGGGCAGAGGGTGCTTTGAGGTCTATGTCAGGCGCCTGGAGCTCAACAGAGCCTTCCAGGGAGGGCAGCTTGTTGTCGGCGGCCGTGACGCTGATGTCGCCAGCCTTGAGGTCAGTCTCCGGGAGGCTGACGTCAACTTTGTCCAGTGAGACGTCTACGTCCAGTCTGGGAGCCTTGACGGTCGGCTTGGAGAAGACCACGCTGGGCACCTTGACTTTCGGCATGTGTATTTTCATGCCGCTGCTCTCACCTTTGCCGGCAGCCACCTCCAGGCCGCTTTCGGCGTCAGGACCCTGCACGGCGGCTTCGCCCTCCGGGAGTTCGGCCTCAACCTTGGGCAGTGAGGCCTCGCCCTTTGGCAGGCTGACCTGCACGTGGGGAGCTTTGACTTTGGGCAGCTTGACGCTGGGCATCTTGACGTCAGGCATCTTAAATCGGCCTTTCTCACCCTCTCCTCCGGCGCCCGTCTCGACTGTCACCTCCACACCGGGCGCTTGGATCTCAGCCGCAGGCAGGCTCACATCCACCTCGGCGCTTCCCGAGGCCACCGTCACTTGGGGCTCCTTGGGGCTGACGTCCATGTCAGCGGCCACGGTGCCCTTGGCCTCTCTGCTGCTGGACCAGCCAAAGGACGGCATGCCGAACTTGGGCATCTTGAACTTGCCGTCCTTGGTCTTCACAGCCTCCTTCTCTGGGGCTTTGGCTTCTCCTTCGACGCTGAGGGCTGCCTGGGTGCCTGCAGCTCAACGCTGGCCTTGGAAGGGTGACATCGACAGGAACTGGGAGGCTGATGTCCACCTTGGGAGCTTTGATGTCTGCTTTGGGCATTTTGAGGGAGGGTTTCTCCAGCTTCCAGCCGGCCCCTTCGCTTTTGCCGCTGGGGATGTCGGCTTTGAGGCCCAGCGCGGTGCCCTCCCCTGCGGCCGTCACGCTGGCGGACGGGAGCTCGACCTGTGCGGTGGGCAGGCTGACCTGGCCTTCGAGCGCCTCCGCCTTGGGGGGCGACACTCCGAATTTGGGCTTGTCGAACTTGGGCATCTTTAACTTCCCTTTCAGGCCTGTGGTTTCCAGCTCGGCCACGTCGAGGGAGCCTTGGGCAGAGGGTGCTTTGAGGTCTATGTCAGGCGCCTGGAGCTCAACAGAGCCTTCCACAGGGGACAGCTTGATGTCGGTGGCCGTGACGCTGATGTCGCCAGCCTTGAGGTCAGTCTCCGGGAGGCTGACGTCAACTTTGTCCAGTGAGACGTCTACGTCCAGTCTGGGAGCCTTGACGGTCGGCTTGGAGAAGACCACGCTGGGCACCTTGACTTTCGGCATGTGTATTTTCATGCCGCTGCTCTCACCTTTGCCGGCAGCCACCTCCAGGCCGCTTTCGGCGTCAGGACCCTGCACGGCGGCTTCGCCCTCCGGGAGTTCGGCCTCAACCTTGGGCAGTGAGGCCTCGCCTTGGCAGGCTGACCTGCACGTGGGGAGCTTAAGCTTGGGCAGCTTCACGCTCAGCATGTCACGTCAGGCATCTTAAATCGGCCTTTCTCTCACCCTCTCCTCCGACCCATGCCTACTGAGCTCACCCCTCTCCACACTGACTTCTTCAATATCAGCCGCAGGCAGGCTACATCCACCTCGGCGCTTCCCGAGGCCACCGTCACTTGGGGCTCCTTGGGGCTG